CCGCAGACTCCCACAACTACCAGCCACGGTTGTGGAGAAGGGACCCTTTTCCCCATCAGCATAGGGACAAGGTGCTTTAGGGAGGGAGCCCATCTGCCCCAAAGCACCCCTCTATGTTGAGGGCATGTGGCCTGGTATGCCTCAGGGGGAGGTGCTCGCTTATCCCCCCCCCTTTTCTGACCTGCTGGGCTGCATACTCAGATAAGGGTCTGATATGGATTTTGGGGGGGACCCCATGACATTTTTTTTTTTAATTTTGGCATGGAGGTTCCCCTCAAAATCCATACCAGACCTGAAGGGCTTTTTTTTTTTCCATTCAGCTGTTAGCTGGGAAACCTGCTGACAGTTGAAACATTAAAGAAAGTTTTCACTACTAAAATACCACATGACTTAATAATATAACTCATGCGGTATTTTAGTAGCTGTGTGGTACCTTACCGCATACTTGGATGCTGTAAGATACCGCTTAGTGAATTGTCCCGGTTCAAAGTTTGCGGTTGAACTTTCATTAGGTTCGAATGTTCGACCGCGAACCAAACAAGGGGGTGTTTGGCCCATCACTGCTAGAAAAGGTATTTCTGTCCTGCTCCACTACGACCAGTCATTATAGCAACCTTTCTTAATCAGGAATCCATGGAATCCTAGGGTGCCTCCAGAAGTTGCTAGGGGTTCCTTGAGCAATTAATCTATTTTTGCCTATCAGAAAAAGTTAGCACTTACACTAACCCTGTTTTTACCTGTATGTAAGGGAGCATTCTCCTTACTAACCTCCAGTGCAATAGGCTCTTTTTTTCACTGACTGTATAAAGGGCTCTTCTCTCAATGATCACCAGTGTAAGGTGATCTTTCTCCCACTGACCATTAATGTAAGGGGCATTCTTCCACTGACCACCAGGGAAACAACATTTTTCACTGTCTGCATTTCTTCTTCTGGACATGATTAGTCTTTATTTCATTTTTTGTTATTACCGAATTTAGGTATATGTCAGCTTGCCATTCATGCTAAAAATCCATGTGCTGTAGATATAGTAATTATTAGTAGGGGTTCCCTGTGACCTAAATGTTGTTTTCACGGTTCATCCATGTTAAAAAAGATTAAAAGAGGCTGCTTGTAGAAGTAACATCCCTGAACTGACTCCCTGGTCTGGACAGACACATAAAGGTTGTTTGCTGGAACAAAGGGCACTCTGACTGTGCACTTTGTATAGAGAAGGAAATGAGTATTGATGAGTCTCAGCCGCTACATCAAATATACATTTTGAATAAGACAGTACAAAGTATAATGATTGTAACAAGTACAATTACCCACAGCAACCAATCACAATCAGTTTACTATAGCCATACCAGCAAAGAAATTGTTTTTTAGTGGTTGATCTTGGTTGTTGCACTTTGTAAATTGTCATTACTTGTATTGCTTTAGTAAACAAAGTCACACATCTTAGCTGGTAGCATTAAAGAATAGTTTACATGGATATACGTTTCATAGGGGGATGAAATGTGCAGGACTGAGAATTAGGAGTTTTGACTACCTCTGACTTTCTAATCTGCATGCTGGTTGCAGGCCAGTAATGCAAAAAGTATAAAAGCCAAAGACCACCAGGCAAGATTTTTTTTCTTTAGTATTGGTTTCCTGTAAAACAAGAGCATATCTCTTCATCTCCACCAAAATGTAAAGATCTGTCCATCTATGGATAAACAGGCAATGCTATACTCCGTAGCTAAAAAAAAAAGTTTATAATTTGTTGAAGGTGATCTCTTTTGCATACTACAACCTACACGTGATGTGATTAGTTACTACACAATAACACTTTCTTTATGTTAATTACAATGCACTCCAAAACCTTAACCATTCATCATTTATTACATGTCAAATTTAGCTAAATTAATAATCATTGTGTAACCAGGTGCTTGGCTAAGAATAGAGAGTGAGAGAAACAATGGCTGCAGCTGCTCCTTGTAGCTGCTGCCCCACAGTGCCAAACTGGTTAACAGCCATATCAACAAGAGGGAGCTGCTGAGCAGGAGGAGTTCAATAGACTGAGTTAGGCAACACTTCACTTGTGGGAACTGTAGTCCAGAGGAGAGAGAGACTCTGCTGTAATTAATAGCTTTTGAACTGCATTCCCCAGAGAGAGATTGCCAGGAGGAGTGGAAAGAGCTGCATTTTCTCAGGCTGCACAGGACTCATCTTCCTCTTGCCATGAGTCCAGAGAGTGCACATTGCTGGCCAGTGTGCCCCACCACTGCCGCATAACAGGGACCTAAGCAGGATCCGGAGTGCTAAGGTCCGGATGTGCTGACAGCCAGAGTAACTTGGATTGCTATATGTGACCGGATGGTGACCTGCAACATTCCTGGGACTGGTGAGCTGCTGCTGTGGGGATTTACTACCTGCTGTTAGAGAGTCTGAGTCCTTTAGGAACTGACCATACAACCATCTAGTATCTTTATTGCTGCCTGCAGGTTTGACTGACTACTCTCATGTGTAGCAACAGTACAGCTAAGCCCTAACGCTAGCCGGCCAAAGAGTTAGGACTAAAAACTGTCCCTTTACAGCTGTTACACAGAGAACTTCACCTATTGCCTATGCTAAGAGGTACTTCTCAGGGGACATTGCACCATATGCTAACCGTATAGTGCTATTATTCACATTGCAGGTAATGCTTATATGCATTGTTTATTGCTGATTTTGCTGGTTCATGAGTTAATCCCATGCTAGTGGTACAGAACTCTATTCTAAGTTACCTTGGCATAGTGATTATACTGTCTAGTGAACTGAGTCTGAACCTGCCATTTGTGTGATCATTTATGATCAACCCGCCGTTTATTCCAACCCATACCAATACATTCATTTTGGTCGTGGGAGAAGGGCACAGGAAGGCCAGGCAAATAACTGTCTGTCGCCGCCTGCTTCCTGGTTTTCAGGTGTGTGCATGCACCATGATGACCCGTGCTGTGATTGGACACAGCACAAGCTATTCAACAGGTTTCAGCCAATAATTTTGGCTGAAAACTGGTGATCAGCTGTGTTCAATCACAGAACAGAGTCCCATGTTTGCAAACAGGACTCTGTTCACAGCACAGTGATCTGTTTCTTCTCCCTGCAAAGCATGTAGAAAAACAGCCAAATCTGTTAGTAAAAGCAACACATATTACACTTGTTAAGCACACAGTTAACCCATTGATTGCTCTTGATGTTAACCCCTTCCCAACCAGTGTCATTAATACAGTGTACAGTATTATACTGTATATGATCACTGTATGTCAGTCAGTAAGTGTACCACCAAGCAAGTGTCTGTTAGTGCCAGATCGCCTGCAACACATCACAGCCCCACTACAAGTCTCTGCTCACCGACATTACCAGTGTAGCATCTATAACTGCGTAAATTCCAGTATATATACCATAGTTTGTAGGCGCTATAGCTTTCACACAAAGCAATTAATATACACTTATTGGGATTTTTTTTTCTATCAAAGACATGTAGCAGAATACATTTTGGCCTAAATTTCTGAAGAAATTAGATTTTTTTTTTATTGGATATGTTTTAGAACAGAAAATAGAAAATATTGTTTTATTTTCAAAATTTTTGGTCTTTTTTCATTTATATAATACATTTTTTTATAAATTTAATTTGGGTACAGTGTTGCATGACCGCACAATTACCAGTGGTCTGGTCCTGAAGGGGGTAAAACCTTCTGGAGGTCAAGTGGTTAAAGTGAACCTGAACTCAAAAAATTAAGCCTTAAAGGGACATCTAGAAATGTTACTATGCCTAAGCAGTACCCTGAAAATCTACAATTGGTCTTTAATTTTTCCTGAAAAACCAGTGTGCTTCATGTGCCTAAACCAGTGGTGGTCAACTTTCTTAATATATGGTGTCTCAAGTGCGGCCCTTGATATCACTAAAGGGCCACACATAATATTTATTGATTGCCCTGTTACAGAAAGCTGACAAGGGCTGCAGGCATACAACAGGAAATGGTCAAAGACTATGTGCATTTTATCTACAAGAGATGGTCAGAGACTGCAAACATGCTATAGGAGTTATTGGAGACTGGAGACACGCTTAAGGAGACAGCTATAGACTAGAGACATGTTACATGGGACTGTTAGAGATTACTGCTATCACAGCTCCTTTACAAATCAATGCTTCCACATTTTTGATTCTTACAGCTCTCTTAAAAATGACTTGTGCCACACTTAAAATGTTACTAAACCCAGGACCCTGCATTCACTATATCTGGTTTCCCACAGTACACACAACAAGGAAATACAATTATTTTAGTAAATACAAACTGCTAAATACCTTTTCTCATCAGCAGTTAGAGCAGTCTTGTGACTTCTATCAGTGCCCAACAGAGTACATGGTAAAGCTTGTAGAAGGAGTTTTTTCTGCTTTAGGAGAATGCAAAACCCCTGACCTCTGTCTGGACAGTGCTGATTGGCCCTGTGCTGATCACATGTACGCTTCCTAGAACCAAAAACTTCTCTAGCAATACACACAAAACTAAGCATGTACAGAAGGGCTAAGGGTTCATTCTGTCTTATCAGGTGGACATTTGAACAAGAATAGGGGCAGAGAAGAAAGTATCAGACAGCCTTTATACACAATGCAGAGTATTAACCCCCTTAGGTTCCACAGTGAGTATAACAAGCATGCTTTACTGTATATACAGACTGATTTTACTGTTGTAGGTTTAGTAACACTTTAATACTTCTCTCCACAAGATCCATTATAAAAGATCAGAGGGGAAAAACATAAAAGTGATGGACAGCACAGAAAAGATAAGATAAAACAAAAGAAATAAACAGAACCGTTTCACTTAAATATTTTTCCTTCACTGGCCTGAATAAGCAGGTAAGTATGGAAAGCATAGACAATGACTGCAAGAGCCCTGAAGACTGCACAATTACTGCTAAAGGATGGGCACCAAGGGTCTAGGCACTGCTATGCCTTGAGCTGCATAACATATTTGTGCAGTGTGAGATCATCTAAGGCATGCGGCCCTTTGCTTGCTTTTATCCGGCCCTTGGGGTATTATTACCCCAACTCTCAGCAACAGTGGGGCATATTCATGCCACTGACACTGGGGTACTAGTCTTCCCACTGACACCAACGATGGAACACTATTACTCTCATTGATATCAATGATGGGGCACTATTTCTCCAACTGACACCAATGATGGGGCACTATTTCTCCCACAAACACCAATGATGAGGCACTTTTCCTCCCAATGACTCCAATGAAGAGGCACTATTCCTCCCACTGACATCAATGATGAGGCACTATTTCTCCCGCTGACACCAATGATGTGGCACTATTCCTCTCACTGACACCAATTATGGGGCACAATTCCTCCGTCTGATGTCAATGGTCAGGCACTATTCCCCCCAATGACACCAATGATGTGGCAATATTTTTCCTACTGAGATCAATGATGGGGCACTATTCCTCCCACTGACACCAATGATGTGGCACTAATCCTCCCACTGACACCAATGATGAGGCGCTATTCCTCCTACTGACACCAATGATGGGGCACTATTCCTCCCCTACTACCAATGATATGGCATTGTTTACTCCCACTGATGCCAGGGCACTTTCTTTTTCCAACTGTCCACAGTCTGGCCCCCTAAAGTTAGAAGTATAGTAAAGTGGCCCTTTGTTTAGAAAGTTTGGAGACCCCTGATCTAAGGCACTGTGCCTCTCACTGCTAGTCTCAGTATATTTAGCTTGAGATTTTGGTGGTATATATATTTTTTTTAAATTGCAAACATGTCATACTTACTTGATTTGTGCAATGGTTTTGCACAGAGTGGCCCATTGCCTATGTTCCTGGCTCCTGCCGAGTGCCCACCATAGCATGCCGCTTGCTATGGGGGAACTTGTGCGAGCTCCATAGATACACAGAGCGCTGCTCAGCCCCGCTCCCTCCTCACTGGCGGTGATTGAGAGCAACCGGAACCAATGGCTCCCTCAGAGTCTATGAGAGAGCCAGCGCTGGATCAAGATTGGGCTCAGGTAAGTATAACGGGGTCTAGTGGGGGAAGCTGTACTTAGAAGTTTTTTTTATCTGAATGCAGAGAATGCATTCAGGTAAAAAACCTTCAGCCTTTAGAACTACTTTAATAATGACATCACCAGTCGTCAAATAACTAGTTCTGACATGAGAAAGCAAAGCCCTACCAAGATGGTCCCTTTGACACAGAGATACAGTGCAGAACAAGGTGTAGTAAATCAGTGATGGGGAAAAATCAGCTGCAGAGAGCCTATAGGCAGTACTGGTGTCTAGTTTGCCCCCTGCTTGCCTTTGTTAGGCCATGGCTTCTACAGTACAGGTTCTCTTTAAATACGGCAACAGATATGTTCCCACAATCCCAACATTCTTACATTTTTCACCTTTGAGCAAAGAGTTTCTTTTCACATTCCTTGAATATTTAACAGAATAACTGGAAGAGATTGTATGGCCTTACAGTATATAGTGACACGCCAAGGCTATGCCACTGAGGTATAAAAGGCTGCAGTGTTTGCTGTGTAATCTCTTCCAAATGTCTGTCCCTGGAGTCTGAGAAATCACCTATGAACAATTAAAAGGTTAGATTCATAATGTGTTTTACGGAGCACTGCTTCGGCTCATAATGCACATTATGCTTATTAATCTAAAAGAAGTCACATTCTCTTTTTTTACTTTCATTTATAGGCATTAAAAGATAAGTTCACCTTTGGAACATGTTATGTGTTCTTCTCATATTTAGGGTGGAACATATAACATGTTCCAGGTCCTGCCTCCCCCCCTCTTCCAATCCCCCCTCCCTGTGACAGTGGATGAGGGATCTTCTCCCTCTCCTCCCTACCTGCTGTCACAATTTGAAAACAACACAGCTGTGCGGGGTTCTGCCCATACAGCCACGTCACTTATTCACAGGGTTCTGTGAATGAATGAAATGCTACAAGTATCACCGGCCACCGCGGCCAACAGCTTGTAGTTCTCAATGAACTGTAAGGGCACTAGTGAAAACTCTCATAGTTCATTGATCCTTCCTGAAATTCAGTAACTGCCTGCCTGTATGGGAGGTATGGGCAGACAGTGAACTGAGAGTCTGCAGGAGCCTGGCATTGCACTCACGATTGGCTGATCAGGGGTGCAATGTTTTACGGGCTCCAGTGTAAAAAAAATAATTCACTTTTTTTTAATCTGCAAAAAGATTTACATTTATTTTTTTTTTTATAAAGGGAAAACATATCCTTTAATTGTGTGAAGCTCATAAGAAAAGGTAACTATTGCATTTTTGTTATTTCTGTAAATAGGAAGCAGTCAGTGTGAGGGGATTTCTATCCCAGCTCCACAATCTAGTCCCATCTTTACAATGTCCAAACAAGCCTCCAGAAGGCAAATGGGGCAGTGGGTAAGTTCCAAAAAGATGAGGATCAGTAGCAGAGGGTGTGCGATATCAAGAGAACCCTAAACAGACAGAGTGACAAGTTCACTTTACCATTTAAAGTGACTGGGTCTCTTGAAAGAACAATCCCCTACCACCACTCACTGAAAGAACAATCCCCTACCACCACAAAAGGTAGCCTGCCACCACCCAACAGTTTATCCGCAGAACGGTCTGCTGGGACACCCCACACACACAGATCTCCGTCTGGCCGATCTGTTACCTTTTACAATCTGCACGCAATCTGCCCACACACAGTGCAATTGCATACAGATTGGCAATGAGCTTGACCGAGCGTTTAAAGGCACTAAAATACGATACAATCTAATCCAATCTAATCTCTCCAATCCAATCTCATCTCTCCAATCTCTCCGAAGATATGAGCATGTGCTTAAATACACAGAAGTCACTAATTATTTTAAGCTTTAATTTCCCAAAAGTGGGCAGTGCATAAAATATGTACAAAATATAAAAAGTTACAGAAATACAAGAAATACAAGAAGACACACAAATGACTATTCACTATAAAATAAAAAGGGAATAAAAGACAGAAGTAAAACTTTACCAGTATTTACCCTGCAACTGGAGCAAGTCAGAGAATCAGCAATCCGTTGGTCGATCAAACCAGCTCCGTAGGAATCACAAATGTCCCAGTGTCTGGGTACCCTTTTCATGGGGATATGGACGTAGGAGGGACATTAGTCCTCGGCCAATTGACCATGGGGGGGGGGGGGGGGTGTTCCTGAATCTGCCCAAAGGGTGTTCTGGGTGTTGACCTGCCCAAGTTCAATGGGCCAAGACCGGCTTGAAACACTAAGTCGGGGATTGGATTTCCAACACCAGCGCATCAGTCCGATCGCGACAGTACCAAACACCAGTCGACTGTCGCCATCCAGCGCCACCTTACCATTTCCTGCATTTTCCTGGCCTTCTGCCTACCCCACAAGTATGATTTTTAGTGCCGATGTGGCCTACAGAATGCCCTACAAGAAGGGAGAATGTTCATCTCTCTGCAACTAATATTTTAGCTTTTATGAGAGATTAAACATACCCCTTTTGATGTATGGATGAAGCTGGAATGTCTGGGCCACTTCCCTTAAACTGGTTTCACCAGAAGGTGACAACCTTATTAACACAAAAGGTGTCATTTCCCCAAAGCAGGGCTTTTCAGCCTAATTGATGCTAATTGTACCTCATTTCCCTAATGACAAGGACTGAATAAACATCCTTAATGACAATGGAATGTCCCTGCAGAATATACATCCTTAATGACAATGGAATGTCCCTCCAGTTACGATTACATATTGCTACTGATCACATCTTATCTACTCAAATCTGTACATTTATGTCACATGCACGTTACATCATTACACTATTTATAGATAAGAGTGCTCCTGTGAACCTTAATTAGTGATATTAAATGCATGGTAAGTGCCAAATTACCTCACTGGTAACCTGTTCAGAAAATAGGTGAAACATTTTCATATATGTGACCCAATTGCAATATGATATTTCTTACGCATAGGCTGATGCTATGGAAATGTAAACATTCAGGACAGGTGTGCTTTATTTTGTTTCTACTACAGAACATAAGTAAAGGTTATGCAAATGATATGGGTACTTTTGTTAAGTCACCCCTAAATAACCTAAGTTATAAGTTATAGTAAACCTAAAACCAAAATTATTTTAAAAATTTGGATAGAGTAGAGAATGTTGCCCCAATCTGTGTCCCATTGGGGAGATCTTCCTTCACTTTTTGTTCTGTAGACCCAAAATCAAATTAGAGGAAACTATGCACACAGCCTTCCCGATTAGTCCTGGAGATTACATAGATCTGCTATAGGGCATAATAAAACTGCCAGTACATGCAATGAGGTACTGATGGAGACTGACATTTTACGCCATGACAGAGCCCACCATCCCCTGTATTGTGCTTCGAAAGCTGAGGAACAGAATAATTTGGGAGTTAATGTCACTGATGCTGAAGGATTCTGGAAGGGCCATGGCTTTGAGTTCCAGATAAAAATAAGAGGCACAAATTACTGCAGCAATGTAATCATCAACAGAAGTATGGCCAATGCTATTATTACACTACAGAATAAATAATTCAGCTTTGTAATAAGTTTAGTTGGTAAAATACAGCATGTCTTTGATGATATATGTGTAACTCACTCCTACTTAGGTGCTAGGATTTGTATAGTTAGGATAAGTATAGCTGTGTTTCTCTGCTTAACAGAGAGGCTATTAGGAAAATCTAATTGGGCTCACTGCTTAACAGAGTGCTGTGATGGATTAGTCAGGTCTGCTCATGATGCCCTGGTGCTGCTCATTAGATTGTCTGAGTTATGCCCGCCTCCAGGAATCTATGAGAGCCTTCTAGAACCTGGGAGGGGACTAGCAAATGAGCAGCATGAATATGGATAAAGCCCTGGCCTATTGCAGGGGGGTGGCCCCATTGCATGCTGGGAATGGTATTTATGTTCTGTGAGCACATGGGTTCAGCATCTTTCCCAGGAGTGGACTGCACTAAGCCAAGCTGGAGGCAGGCTTGCCTCGCCTGATACTTGCTGCCATGTGGGCCTCAGGTGGGTTACCTGAGAGCCTGGAGATAGAAGGAATGGCCTTTTATCAACAGTACACTGACTGAGGGGAGCCGTCCGCCAAAGATTTGTCTGGCATCACTGGAGACAGAGTTGCTTGGAAGATTGGAAGGAGGTTGCCATTCTGTCCTTGGGCTTGTTAGTACAGACACTGAAAGATCTTGGGGAATCTCTCTACTTTTCTACCCCTCAGGTGCTTGATAGTCAGCGTGGGTCTGAGAAAAGGGAACACGGGCTAGTGTTGAAGAGCTTGTCAACTGTTGCTACTGCAATGGACTTTGATCAGTTCTATTACTTCTGGACTGCCACAGTCTGCCGTAAAGGGAGTGCACCTGAGGAGCTCAGCTCTGCAACTATTAGGGACTTTGTTCACTCCTAAGCTACTTGTTGCTACAATTTAAAGAGTATTCTGCTATCTGCTTTCAGCCAGGATTTCAATAGTGCTCAACTAAGATATCAGCTAAATGTTCTCAGTGTGAATAGTTCTAATTTTGAAGTATCCTACTAAATTCCCCATCCCTATCCCCAGTTCTACAATAAAACTCCAAAAACAAACATTTCCTAGACTGGTCATCGAAGACAACTAGCGAAAG